CCAGCTTTCGAGCTTGTGCTTTTCCAAAGACTGGCAATTGACCACTGGTGCACTATCACTCCTGGTCTCTGGGAGAGAGACCAGGAGACCATGCCCAACCAGCACCTGTATCTTCCAAGGCCTTTGCTGTCACTGCATTCCTAATCACAGAAGAGATGCCTGTCAGCAAGCTCTGCTCCACACAGCACGAACCAGGCCAGGGCCAGTGGCAACTGCAGCTGGGCCACAGTCCCCTCCAGCACTGCATCAAGACCTTTTAAGAGACTTCCAGTACCTGAAAGGGGCCTACAAGAAAACTGGCGACGGCCTTTTACAAGGGTACATAGTGCTGGCTTTTACAAGGGCTATGACAAGGGCTCTAGTGACAGCATAAGGAGGAATGGTTTTAATCTGGCAGAGGAGAGGTTGAGGTGAGATTTTTGGCAGAATTTATTCACTGTCAGGGTGATGAGTCCCTGGCACAGGTTGCCCAGAGAAGCTGTGGCTGCCCCATCCCTGGCAGTGTACAGGCCAGGCTGGAGAGGGCTTGGAGCAACCTGGTCTAGTGGAAGGTGTCCCTGGCCATGACAGGGAGGTTGGAACTGATCACCTCTGATGTCCGTTTCAACCTTAACTATTCTATGACTCTATGATTTGATAAAGCGAATAACAAGAGCAGTTCTTGCTAAACCCAAGAAGATTTCCATGAAATTATTTTTACCAAAACACTCATCATCATCATGACATAGTATCTAAAAACTGAATTTCCATTTCTCTATAGAGGTTTGCTTTCAAGAGAAAAAGGAAAAAGTAGTTATTGGAAATCCATGGTGCATTAACCAATTAGTTGTTATGTGAAAACTGCTTATTTTTCCTAGTCATTGTATTGGAACAAGAAATCAAAACACAATAAAAAGAAAACATGTTAAACTTCTGAATAGACTCCACATGAGACTGGGGCATTACTGAGAATTTCTTGCAATCATTTGGATTTTGTTCCTGAAACAAGTTGTCTGCTTTTACACACAGACAGAATTTTTACCTCAGATGTTGACTTCCATGCCTTTAGAAGTTTTTATTTACATCCATTTTTATTCATCTTGTGCAGTAAGCTGCAGAGAAGAACCTTTCAACTGCCACCATCATAGCAGCAGGTAAAGGAGTCCTGTGCAGAAATTGAGATTACAGGATATTTTAATGAAACTATCTGCTGGAGGATAGGAATGCTCTGCAGAGGGATCTGGACAAGCTGGATTGATGGGCTGTGGCCAGTGTTATGAGGTTTAACAAGGCAAGTCCTACACTTGGTCCACAACAACCCCATACAACACTCCAGGCTTGGGAAACAGCAGCTGCAAAGCTGCTCATGGAAAAGGTCTTGGGCTGCTGATTGACAGAACTGAACATGAGCCAACTTGTGCCCAGGCAGCCAAGGTCATAGCATCCTGGCCTGTATCAGCACCAGTGCGGCCAGCAGGGCCAGGGCAGTGATGATTCCCCTGTACTGGGCACTGGTGAGGCCACACCTTGAATCCTGTGTTCCATTCTGGGCTCCTCACTACAAGGGAGACACTGAGGTGCTGGAGCAGGTCCAGAGAAGGGTGACAGAGATGGTAAAGGGCCTGGGGCACAAGTCTGATGAGGAACAACTGAGGAACTGGTGTTGTTTAGTCTGGAGAAGGCTCAGGGGCAACCCTATCGCTCTCTACAACTACCTGAAAGGAGGATGGAGCCAGGAGGTGGCTGGTCTCTTTTCCCAAGCAACAAGTGATAGGACAAGAGAAAACAGACTCAAGCCATGCCTGGTATATTTAGACTGGAGACTAGGAAAACTTTCTTCACAGACAGGGTGGTCAGGCATTGGAACAGGCTTCCCAAGAAAGTGGCTGAATCACCATTCCTGGAAGTGTTCAAAAAAATATGTAGATGAGGCCCTCAGTGACATCTTTCAGTGGTGGCCTTGGCAGTGCTTGGGTAATGGTTGGACTTGATGATCTTAAAGGTCTTTTCCAACCTGGCTGATTCTATGATACTCAAAACCATTTATTAGAGCCAGCTTTCTGCTTACCCCAGGAAGTCGTGCCTGAGTGCAATTCCCTTCCCTGGCTGGCCTGCAAAGACACCGCATCTTCCTCCTGGTGCATCTGCCATGGTCCAAGCACATGGAGGTGTGCAAGGGCCCTATTCCTGCTCGTGATGGACCTGTAGTCCCCACCATCACATGAAGGGAACAGAAATAAAGGTGCAGAGGCAAGTGGTGGAATCAGCATGGTAGTGATGAAGCCAGCCGGGCCAGGGGCTGTTTACTAGCAGGAAACTGCACGGAGTCGGCGCTCCCTTGTTTTTCCCACCCCTGAGATTCCTCCCTTGCCCTCACTCTCTCTTGCCCATCCATGGGGCTCCCGGCAGGCCTCCAATAGGCCGGAGCTCAAGTACAAGGAGGGACCAGTGGAAACCCCTCCGACCACGCGGGGAGCTGTAACGCACCCAATTCACCATGAATCCTCCTCGGTGTCATGCTGTCCCCACCCAGACCCAGCCCCCCTCCCCTCTCGCCCTCCAATGATAAGCAGGGCCAGGCACCGCGCGGCCGCTCGGGTGTGCAGGGTGTGCGCGGACGGGCCACATTAGCCCGAACCGGTTCCCACGCAGGTGGTGGACGGAGGCCTAGCCCGGACGCTACGGCACTGCCCTCTCGGCACCGGAGCCGACTCCGGTCCCGCCCCTCCGGCCGGGGCGTGGCCGGATGCACGTGGCTGGCGGGCGGAGCTCAGAGCCATCGGTTCCTGTTCGGCGCGTCTCGGTGCGGCAGGCAGTAAGTGATCGGTATCGGGACTGCCCGCCTGGCCCCGGGCTGTCCCGGCCGCTGCCACCTCCCTCCTCTCTGAGCCGGTTCCTGTTGCTCCGCGGTGCCCCGCTGGCCGCTCTCCCGGCCCCTGCCCCTTCCCCTTAACCTTTCCTCTGCCATCCTGCGCTGCCGGGAGTGCTGCTGCCCGTGCGCCAGCTGAGCCCGCCCGCGCCGCGCTCCTGTGAGGGCCGCTCCGCTCCTGCCGTCCCGCTCAGCACGGTGCCCGTCCCGCCGCCAACGCGGCCTACCCGCGGCCTGTGCCGCCGCTGGTTCCGCCTCCCCGCGGGGTGCAGGGCCGTGCCCGCCCGCCCGCCTGCTCAGCTCAGCTCAGCTCGGTGTTCGGAACCTCCGTGCCATTAAAGATACGGGCGAGCCACTGCGTTAGTGTCGTGTCTCCTCGGTATAGCGTGTCCCGGCTCTCGGTGGCTGGCGGAGGCCCTGTGCCCGACAGCGGAACGGTGTCGCCCAGACCTGTTCTGGGCAGGAGGGCAGCGGAGTGAGCCGGCTCCTCGTTTTCTTCCGCTCGTAGTTCCGGGTACTTCGAGGTCGGTGTTTTCCGCTGGCACAGCTGCGTCCAGGTCACCAGACTAAACTCGGTGCCGGTCTATGGAAAAGCGAACTTGTTAACTAGAGGATGTTTGCGCAGCTACTGTTAAAAACGCTAAAGGGGAGGAAATCTCCCAAAATGCTTGAAATAAACTTGCAATATTTTGTTATTTTCCAGGGTTTGGGTGTAGAAGACTTTTTCCTGTGATCTCCTGAAGGTATAGCTTGTCACTAGAAAAACATTTTCTTGAGAGCTTCGCTTTCCTTTACACTTTCTTGCTCTGTATTTAAAGAGAGTACAAAAAAGAAACATTTTCTCAAACAAACAGCAGTTTGACATGAAAATGAGTTTTGTGTGTCAGTTTAGAACAACACAAGTTATCCTTGGAAGAAACAAGTAACAAAGTGTCCTGAGTGTAGCAGTAGCAGTCAATTTTTTTCTCCTTGGTAGCTGGTGCGGGGGGGGGGAAGAAGGAACAAACACAACACAAAGTTTAGCCAATATTAACTAGCAGCAAATGTCACCATTAGATTAGCTTTATGGTGCTCCCTGCCTTTTTCTGGTTACTTGAAGCTGAGGTGATAGTTACTGTACATACTTGTCAGGGTTTTCTGCGTGAAAACCGAGGGCGTGCCTGCCCTGACTCTTCTTAAGGACATGTTAAAATGTTTCACTGTGAGGGTGATGCTCTAGGTAGAGCGCATAAGTGCCGGGAGTAGCTCCAGGTTTCTGGTGACTGCATGTCTGACCTCGGGTGGCACATGGAAACTGCTACTTTCTCATGTGCTTTGAGATCAGTACAGAAACTCAACACAGGTGAAGGCAAAAACTGTCTCTTGACATTGACCTTTGGTAATGAACTTATATTGTTGTGGAGTTTGTTTGTTTTTGTGTGTGTGTGTGTGTGTGTGTGTGTTTTTAATGCATTCAGATTTGACATTTGGGTATGTTCCTATGGTAACAAGAACAAAGATGTGATTTTCATTTTGGTGCTGTGCTTCATAACAATTAATAGTTTTGATTGCTTGACTCTCCTGAAGTAGAAGTATGCCACTTCTGATGAAGGGTGCAAAAGCAGTTACAGCAGCTGACATGAAAGATTTCCTTTAACTGCATTTGAACATTAAAGTTCTTTATCAATTTCATGTTGGTTGAACCTGCGCAGTATTCTAACAGTCTGAAGCACTGGGCAGTTAAAGAGAAAAGGTCTAGTCTGCACACCGCTCTCAAGTCTGTCCTGCTGTTCTGGTGTGTGAACCTCTGCTCTGGTAGATGCATGTGGGTTTAGGAAGCTGATGGCAATTCCTTTAAAAAGGCTTTCTTTTCCATTTTACTGTTGTTCCTGTCTGTTACAAAGTCTGATGGTAGGGTTCTGTTTGTCTTTTTACTTCCTAAGACAGCAGAGAATATATTTGTTACTGTATTTTCTATGTACCCTATGTCATGAAGTGTTAGATTTTACATTACTGCAAAGATCAAGCAGAGAGGAAGAAAAATGAGAAATATTTGGAATTCACTGATGACTTGTGATGGGAATAGTACTCTTGTCTGAAAAGTCATATTCGCAAAGGATGAAAAAGTAATCTTTTTTTGCTACTCATCCTTTGAGAGTTTTTCTTTTAAGCTCTGACAGATCTTAAGAGTTGAAAAATAATATCAGCAGAAGCAGAGAAGTTAAGCAGCAGCAAAGAGGAGTGAGAAGGGAGAAACAAGTTTGTGAAGCAGGAATGGCATGGGAAAGACTGGCCTGAGCATCTCCCTGCCTCTTATGCCAAGGCCCTTCTGCATGTAGATTACATCTGAGTGTCCCAAACTGCACTGAGGTTTTGGTTGAGGATGTAGCTGCCCACATGCAACTTGTAAATTGCTGTACTGATTAACTTGTCCATGTGCTTTTCTCCCTGCCTGCAAGTTGCCATCCACACCTCCCTTCTGATTGCCTTGTGCTTTTGCCAACTTTGGTTACTTTATCCAAGTGTGGGATATTGTTCTTTTAAGGGACTAGATGAGAAGTGCTGGCAAGCAGTCTTTGTATATGATCTGGAAAATCATTTCCTGCTATTTCCACCTGTAGCCATATGGTGTTTTGTTCAGAAATGGTTAAAAGAAACTCACGTAGCTGTGTTTTTTAGATTTTGTTTTAACAACAGTAGCATTTTATCTAAACTGTTCTTACTTATGGCCTACCAGAGAGATAGTCAGGTACATTTGAGGAAAGTTGTGCTCTGGGTTCAGATAGGAATGAGATTTCTCTTGATGAAGGGATGTGGGTCTCCCATCACCTAGGATTGGAAATTCTGGGGCTTGTTTGAAGTAAGGCAGGCCAATTCCAAACTATGATGCATCAGTTTGTTACGCTCCCAGCAGCCTGTATTACTTGCCAGATTGGCTAGTCTGTGCAGGACTATTATTCTTAATGTGGTTTTAACACTCAGATACAAGGGATGTCTTTGCTATAGTCTGGCTGTTAGCAAAGATGGCAATTGCCCGTAGTCTAAGCCTTTCACTGGTGAAAGGAAATTAAATTGCTGAAGACTGACAGTCACATACATCTTTCTCTCTCTGAGTATCAGCAGGAATACAGTAAGGGACTGTCTCAGTTTGACAGTCTGAAAACAGCAAAACTTTGTCTGTCAAGCTCTTCTTCCTTTCCTAGAGGCAGTGTTTTTCTCTGCTTTGATGCCACCTGAAAAAGGTGTTTCTCACTCTGTGATGAAGAGGTAGGGAATAGCTGTTGGCCAGATCTGAGGTTGGTGAATAGCGGAACTCTCTCAACAGACTGCGTTGTGATGCTGATGGTTTGATTATTCCTGTTTCCAGTGGCCTGCCATACCTACTGAGCAAGAGGAGGAGCCCTTCGTCATTCCAGATATACATGGTACCTGAGAGGAGGATCCATTGTTTGACCTGAGCTTCTGGAGAGGATAGATCAAAGTGAGTGTAGTGCCATGCTGCCTCCTCTTACTCTTGTCTTTGCTGTGAAGTGTCTGTGAGTCAGCTCCTCCGGAGCTCTTTGACACTCCTGATCCTGCAGTCTTGTTTAGCTGCCTGTTTTCAGCCATTGTCATGTACCTACTTTGTGTAACTATCCAGTGAGTGACGGAATGGTAAGGAAGGAGTGCTTAAATAACCTTGGCTTTTTGAGTATCACTGGAACTGCAGAATGCTTCAGGGGGATTCTTTAAATTCCTCCATTACTAAAGGTCTCTTTTCTCTCTTTTTCCTTTGTAAATGTGTTTGATTGGAGCCATCTCTCCTTTTATTCTCACCCCATGGGTGGGAATAGGCCAAGACCTTTAGAATGAGTAATCCCACCTAAAGTTGAGAGAAATTTTTAAATATGGGTGCTTTGGTCTGTCAGATGCTTTTCTGTCGTGTGTTTTTTTAAACTATCTACAATCATTCATCTGATTGGTGTTTACCTTTTCCTCCTATCTACACTGTCTAAACCTAAGAACTTGTATAAAATAGGTTTGTTGTGTCTATTAGCATAAAGTTCTGACCTCATTCTTTCATATTTTATTTAGCATAATAGATATTATATTTATCTAAGAACAAATAAAAACTCTGGAAAACAGCCTGGCAAATAAAGATATATCCACTTTATCCCCATGTTATTGCTGAATTCTATGTTGGCAGGTGCGAAAGTTTCCAGGTTACAGTTGCTCTGTGGATAGGAGAGCTTTTAAAACAGATTCTGTAACCTCCACTTTTAGGACTGTATTTGTAGGTTAGAAACCAGTTTGAGTGTATTAGGAGATAGCAGAGCTAAGCATGTGAGTGGATGAGTAGGGTTCTGAGGGTCTTTAGATGTGGTCTCAAACCACTGATTACCAGAGTGACTTCTTTAGCTGGCAGGTGAGATTGAATGACGTATGCTGGCCTACTGGAAGCCTAAAGAGAAAAGAGTACAGCATATGGATGGTCTGTAAGCATTGTATTTTCCTGCTTGCATGTTCATGTTTTATGTGGTTTTGCTTTGTTTATTTCCTTGGGAGAAGTGTTTTCCTCTTTAGTTTGACTTCTGGTATAACAGAAATACAAATGACGTAAAATCTGTCAAGACCAGGGAAGGACTTTTGCACGGTGTGTGCAGAAAGCTGTCAGTAACAGCTTCTGGGTTCTTTAAATACCATCATCACACAAATTACTTCTATACAAAGGTCCTGAATCTGGATCCCTGTACTTGTGTATCAGTATGTGAATTTAAACAATACCATGGAACTTACTTCCACAACTAAAAAACTGAACTTCCATCTGATAGTTTTCCTTTCTAAAAAAGCTTGTTGGCTTCCCTAGGAGTAGCTGTAATACAGAAATAAAGATAGGCTTTGCAGAGAAAATACTCCTTTTTGTCTCCTCCACGCATGATGTGATTATGTAAATGAAACAAGGTATTCTGTGAATTAGACAAAGTAACTTCAGGATGTCCCTGGATCACCTTTCTTGCTAGGTAGTGAACTCTAGAGACATTCGCCATTTGGTTGGGGTCACAGGATAGCTGAGGTACCTCTAGCAGTTCTCTCATCCAACCCCCTTGACTCAAAGCAAGGTGACCTAGACCTGAGTGTTGAAGGCCATATCCAGCTGAGTTTTGAACATCTTCAAGGGCAGAGGCTCCACAGCCTTCTTGTGCAGCAGAGTTAAAAGGGTTTTTCTTATGTGTAAATAGAATTGCCTTTTTTTGTTTGTTTGTTGCCTTTCATCGTGTTGCTGGACACTGCTTAGAAGGTCCTGGCTCTGTCTTATTTACCCCCCCTCCCCAGGTATTTATATACATTGGTAAGATACTCCTGAGCCTCCTTTCTTGAGGATGAACAGTTGAACAGTCCCAGCAGGCTCAGCATGGCCTCGTATGACTGATTGTCCAGTCTCTTGATGGTTTTAGTAGTCCCTTGCCACACTCCAGTATGTCCATCTTTTCTAGCACTGGAGAGCCCAGAGCTGTACACAGCCCTTCAGATGTGATCTCACGAGCGCTGACTAGGGCAGAAAGATAACCTTCCTCACCCTGCTTGCAGTGTTCTTCAAGGGCCCAGGATGCTTTTTGCCCAAGAAATGTACTGGCTTCTGGTCAACTCGACCCATCTCCAGGTCTTTTTTTTACAAACCTGCTCTCCTGGCAGCAGTTTGTACGACTTTACATTTACCTTTGTTGGCTTCCATGAGGACCCTCTCTGCTCACCTCTCCAGCCTTCTGAGGAACCTCTGAATGGCAGCACAACTGTCTCGTGCATCAGCTGCTCCTCGCAGTTTTTCTTCATCTGCAAACTTGGTGAGGGTCAACTTTGTCCCATCAGCCAGCTGTTAAAGTGGATGTGTTTAAAAAGTGGTCTTGCTGCATACCTGAGCAGGGGAACTGGGGCTTTAGTCCTAGATGCACCAGGGCCTTTAAAGGTTCTAGATAATTATTGTTTAACTGGTAGCAGCACAGAGATGTCATAGCTAATGCTGTGCTGGGCAAACACTGTTTGCAGGTATACTTTCCCCAGTTCTAAAAGGATTGTAATTGCATTTTCATGGCATTGTAACTCAGTTCTTAAGTCATGATGGGACAGTGTGACATGGTAGTTTGTATGAAGGCTGCAGATTTCCATACTATCTTTACTATCCTTTTTTCTTTTTTTTTTTTTTCTTTATGCTATATTCAGACCTGAGCTTATGTAGAGTGTGTCTGGGTGTTTCTGTATCATAGCCCTAGCACTTCCCATCATAGGAATAAATCCTGAAGTACACCTGTGAATCCACAGCCCAGGTGTAGATAGGCTCCAAGTTGCTTCTGTCAAATACTGCTGACTGTTCCTTCGCTTTCTTTCAGGTATGTGTATAAGACCTTACTTATAAATTAAGTAAGTTATGGAGTTGTGGAGTACCCAGAATTAATAGTAGTTGGTGGAACAATCAAAATTCTGGTTCAGACACTCATTTGGCTCCCAATCCATGCAGGTACCCTCGTTTTGAACACAGGAAGGAGAGGAACTCTGGAAGCTGAGAGCATATTAAGGGCAACTTTCAGAAGACAAAGTTGTTGTGTTTAAAGCAATAGCTAAGATTAAAGCAGATGCACCCTTAAGTAGCTTTCGCTATTATGAATTTGAGCATTGATTGTTGTAGCTGTTAAATCTGCTCAGTTTTATGTTCTGTATGCAGAACTCTATGACTAACTATAGCAATTTCAGAAAGGTATCATTTGAAATATGGTTTTGGGCATACATTTGTGACCATTCTGATATAATCTTTGTGATTTTTGTGGATACAGACTATTCACTTTCCAGAATGTTTGTCGGATATGAAGATGCTGAAGCCATTAAAATGTATGAAGATGAACTTTATCACGAGGAGTCATCCAGTGATGGCATTGACAGTGAGGTGGAATTTCATCTCTACAGCCAGATCCACTATTCCCAGAATCTTGAGGAAACTGGCACGATGGAAATGGATGAGGAAGCTGAAGTTTCAGGAGTTTCAGGAGTTACTGGTCATAGTTCAGTTCTAACTGAGAAACAGCATGCAAACCAGAACATCACTGAGTCTGTGCCTTGTATTCAAGTTTCAGATGACTCTGAGATCATTGTCTTGTCTGATACATCAGAGGAAGACAGTGTTTACAAAAGCAAAGCAGCGAAGTCAAGAAGTTTTGTAGCTGAAGGCAAAATACATATGCATCCAAGATCTTCCACGCCGTATCATGCCAAAGCTGCTGGATGTAATAGCCTGTATCCTGCTGGTTCAGGCACAGACATTTCAAGGCAAATGAAAAGCACTAGTGGGAAGCATAACCCAGTCAGTTCTGCTGGAGCTCATGCCATCCCAGAAGTGCTGGTAATAGATGATAGCTCAGAGGAGGAGAGTTTGGCATCTGAAAGTGATAATGTCGAGAGCTGGATGCTTCTGGGAGCAGGTGCAGATGACAGAGATGAAAATATATTGTTGAACCTTGAAGACTGTGCAAGTCCTGTCAGTGAAGGTTAGTACTTTATTTAATCACTTGTTTTTCTGTATGCATGAGGATTTGTCTGCGACAGTACTAATGTCAATCTCTGAAAAGAAAGATAAACAGAAAGCAAATGGAAGTGTGTAATGATGTGTATGGAACTATGATGAAAGAAATAGCCATTTATTTATACCACTTCAATACCATTATTTCAGTCATATCACATACAGAAAGACATCATTTTTGCTGGTAGAAATTTAGAAGTAATATCAGAGTGACTCTTGTCAACATTCCAACTTTCCCATATATTTTGTATTTCTAAAAGCGTATAAGAAGGTAAGGGGAGCAGGGGGAAGAGGGAGTGAAATAAAGAGGGAACACAATAGTTTCTTACTGTAAACAAAGTAAGCAGAAAAAAACTTCCAAACAGTCTGAGGACTAAAGACATAAGGAAGATCAGAAGTGTGGAAGATTAGGAAGCGTGTAACAATAAAAAGTTTGCTGAAAAGTGCTGCAGGGTAGGAAAGTAATCAGTGCTCATAATCCAGGAAGCAGTCTCATTCCTCTTTCTGTGTGAGAAGATTTCTGCCCCCTGCCTGTTCTGCCTCACTTCGGTGCAGACATCCTTGCTTGTCCCAGCCATTCACTCACCCCCCCTTTTGTTTTCCTGTCCCCCTCCGGGTGGGATGCAGAGGAGAACTGAAAGAATGTAAACCCCATGGGTTGACGTAAGAGCAGTTCAGTAACTAAAGTATAATACAAAACTACTACTATTACTAATAATAATTATAAGGGAAAAAACAAGGGAAGAGAATATAAAACTAAAAAGGAAAGGGAAAAAAAACAATAAACACAAGTGAGGCCCAATGCAATTGCTCAGCACCCACAAATCAGTACCCAGCCTGACCAGAGCAGCAATCAGTCCCTTCTGGGTAACCCCCCAGTTTATATACTGGGCATGATGTGTATGGAATACCCCTTTGGCTAGTTTGGGTGAGGTGTCCTGTCTCTGCTTCCTCCCGGCATCTTGTGCCCCTCCTCACTGGCAGAGCGTGAGACTGAAAAGGCCTTGATCAGGGTAAGTGTTACTGAGCAAAACTAAAACATCCATGTGATACCGGCACTGTCCTTGGACTGAAGCTAAAACACAGCACTTCATCAGCTACTAGGAAGGAGAAAAATAACTTGCAGCTGAACCCAGGACAGAGGGCAAGAACAGAGGGGAGACCTTCTGAGCTGGTTCCCTCTTCTGAAGCAGGCTCTGCAACTGCTCATTCGGGGTCTGGCAGTTTGGGTTGTTGACCTAAAATTGATTGTAACTTCTTGTATGGATTCTCAGAGAGATTCTCAGCTGCTAAGATTTAACATGTAACCTTTTTGTATTCTGTAAATTGATCTTCCACTTTATGGTGCAGAAAGTAAATGTGGTTGTTAGCAAGACAGTTTTCAGATGAGATTTTAGATGCGTATTTGTAGTAAACACACTAGGTAACACATACCTTGTCACCACCAACTAAAAATGTTGTTAGAAGATCAGTCATGCATTCTTCTTGCCCAGTGGTCTCCCTGAAGCACAAAGGTCATTTCCAGAAACAGCGTCCCCTGCCAGTCTGAGAGAAAAAGTTACTGGAAGATTGGCTGCTATGGTAGCAGGGCTAGCCTGGTTAGCTACATCACTGGGGACCTTGGCAAGACTTTTATTGTTTGGTTTTATTTTTAGTAAAAATTTTAATTGAATTTTTCAATTACATAATTTTTCATATGACAGCTTTACTTGGTGAGCACGTAAATGAGGTGGTTTTGGTTTCAGGGAAATGGAGAGTTCTGCAGCGTGGACCTGCAGGCTGACCCTAGTGAAGTTTTTTGTGTCGGTGGCTGTTTAAACAGTGCTACTGTTCATATGCTGCTACGAAGCTGTCTGAGAGGGGCAAGCTGAGAAATTGTCTTTGCCTTCTTTTCCGGTAAAATGCCTGCTTCTCGCCTGTAAATGTGCAATAATTTTTTCTTAGGGTTGTTCTTGTTTGGTTTTGCACAGCTATCCACTTTGCATATTGATTAATGATACCAGTGTGCTTGCCAAAGCTTCAGAGATCTAGGAAATGCTTTCCCTATTCCCAGTGCCATGCCAGAAAAGTGGCAGAGCATTCAGTTGCCATGTCAAAGCCCCAGACAGCCACATTATATTAGGAATTAATGTGATTTTCTGCTTTGTATAGATCTTTTTAAATGCAGTTTCTAAGAATTAACTTGAAGTAGCTAAATTTCTTTATCTTTCTTTTTTGTATTTTCATATCCTGCCCTTTTCTTTGAAGCCTATCTAGAGCTAATTAGCTTGTCTTTCTTAAATTACTATGCTTCTTGGGGAGCAAATGTTTGGTGCTGTGTGGTGACCACATAGCACAGTTAATATGTTTTCTGGGTAGTGCTTATTTTTCTTATAACTGCTGGGCAGGCAAATATCTTGGATCTAGGTTCCTTTTGTTCAGTTTACTCTGTGTATCTCCTTGAATTTATGTAGCAACATTGCTGATGGTACTGCTGAAGTTTACCCCAAAACCCTCAGAAGAAACACTGCTTAAGACTTTAAGCGTATTTCAAAATTACATATACACATTTTGGGAAACATTCTGTAATTAATTTATCAGAGTAATTATGCTTACTAGGTGTAACATGAAAATGAAAATTCATTTCTTCATTCTTCATGATATTCTATGAAGGTGTGATAGTGCTAATCAAGAGAGGCTTTTAAAAATGAATTGTGCTAACTTACAGTATGGTTTTGTAACAAGTGTATTAATGTTTCTTATTCATATATATATATTCGTAGATGCTGACAATAAGCAAGCCACATTCAAAGCAAGTAACGCAGAATTTTCCTGTGCTGTATAAACTTGTCCCACTCTTTCAGAATTGAAGTTGTTTAATTATATGTAGGCAATGTAGATATTTTTTGAGATGCTGGAATGGGAAGTCAGACAGCCGCATAAGAGGCTAGTAAATATAATTGTTCTTGTCTTACCCTGATTTTTATTCTCAAGCTACATCAGAACTTTTTCAAAACCCTTTCTTGCATTTCGCCTCACATCTGTTTTTGCCAGCAGCAGGCTTGTACCTGGTAATGTGGGATGTATGGAACATGCATCAGGCACAAGCAGCAAGTGCTGTTGTGCACGCACATCTTCCTCTTCACTTTAGCTTTTGCCTTTCTATGTATATAAGACATAGCAGAAAACCTCACCTTGGTGCATTTTCTCTGGCTGTGAGCAAGCTGATGACGATCCATTTGGTCTGTATGCAGTGGGCAGAGCAGAAGCCTTATGCCCTGGTGCTGGCTCTGGCACAGGCATCACCTGAGGGCACTGCAGGGCTGGGTTTTGGCCAAACTCCTGGGGCTCTGTCACAGTCCAAATTCCAGCAAATGTTACTCGGTGACTCTGGCATGCAAAAGTTTGTTTTGGCTGCTCTGTTTCTCATACGTATGGTGATAGGGATGCGAAGCTCAGGCTTAAAATGAATTGGCGTTGTACATGTGTGTGTATGTAATGAAAAGCTGAAACAGCAGCAGAATAGTTTTAGAGAATGAACACCATAAATCTTTTCAATGTAACCATAATTTGTTCACTAAGCTCATGCAGCATTGTATCTCCAGTTCTAAAGAGACTATAAAGGACTCCTTTGCTGAAACATAAACCTATTAAATCTGAAGGAAAAAATGCACTTTAAAAATATCTGTGTTAGCAAATTATCCTCCCAAAGATATTCTCTGCTAATGCATTTAAAATATTTTGAGACAAACACAGTTCTGTTTTCAGGATTTCTGAAGAATGAGATCGAGTAGTTAGGTGACTGCACAATATGTAAATTGCTGTTTTAGGGCTTGTAGTATCAGTAAGGCTGGACATAAAGCGTAGTGACTGGTGAAGCCTTTTCTCCCCTAGAACTGCCAGTGACTATGTAAGTGGGATAGACCTCCCCTGACAGTGTCGTGGTGTGCTTAGTGTCCAGTTTGCTACACATTAAAAAGGGAACTGAAATCTGAACAGTTCTCTGATGTTAAGAGTAGCTGTTTGTGTCAGTCTTTGGACGAGTCTTCACTGAGTTCTTATGTCTGAGGCCCTGAAATAGAGATGCTGAGTTTCCACTGGAGTCAGAAATAACTCCTCAAGGAAAGGAATTAAGTGTATCCCCTTATTCTGTTAACTCTTCTGCATCTTACTTGCCTGTCCTGCTCTTCTCTAGCAGACTTATAATTTTTTATATTCTGTATAAACAAATAATGCTTTCTTAGTGCCTCCAATGCTCAGAGAATCCTCTCCCCATACAGCCAGAAAGCTTCAGTCACCACCATATGTGACAGGAAGAGATGTCCTTTTGCCTTGGGAAATGAGCTCTGGTTCCTGATGGTAAACCAAGAATCACCTGTACCCTTCTGCTTCCAGTTAGCATTTTGAAAGTTATGCCTGGTCCACAAACCCTGCTGTTCAGTACACAGCTGAAAACCTTTCTTCCCTTTTCTGCCCTCTTTTCAAGTGGCTTTGGATGCCTTGCACTTCTTATTTCTGCTTCTGTAACACCACATTAAGCAACATAATACTTGTGCCCATATTTCTATAAAATGCAACTTTTCATCAGATTTCTACCAGTTGCTCAGCACATAGAGCTGGTTAGCAGCCTTTCATTAATTGGGGTATGAAAATGGGTACTGGCTTTCTTGTTTCATATAGCGGGATATCAGGGAAAGCACTTTGTGTGTCTGTAGTGACTGTGTCCCTCCTTATTCTGACTTTGTTTTTCTGTGTGAGACTGCATGGCTTGGAAGTGAAGCAGGCACTTGACCTACAGATGGGGTGGCTAATCTGAAAAATGGTGACTATATCCCTGTGTGTGTTACTTGCCCCACCTGGCCATCGGTGGGTTTCCTTACATGGCATCTGGAAAAGTGTATGCTGTTGCTGCTGCTTGTTATTTTGCAAAAAGGTTCCTTCCTACCTGCTTCACATTGTGTTTCAGAAATGGGTAATTTAACAGATCTG